AAATTAACAAATGAGTAAAAAATAGTATTTTAAATGTTAACTAAAGCTATATAAAAAAAAACATTATTTAATTTAATAAACTTTAACTTTTTAGGCTAAACATTTTTATGGAGTTCAAGAAGTCTCCGATGCTGATGTATCGAAGCTACCAATATGTCTATCGGTAATATATTAATTTTTATGTATATTTTGAGCTTGAAAGTCCTATCATCTATTTTATCAATTTAAAATTCAATTAATATCTACCATTTTATTGAAGAATTACTATCATTTTAATGTAATAGTTTAATTTGTCTTAGAGGCACGTATATAAACTTTTAAAGAATTAATTTGAAATATATAAAAGTAGAATATTTTTGAAATATTGTATAAAGTGGGACTTTCAATTTATATAAGTATAACTATTGTTTATATAATTGTTATAATATAATTTGAACAAATAATATTCTCGTTTTATTTTGTAGCCTACGCCTGAAAGACCTGCATATGTAAGACTATATTAAATTTTTTAAACTTATACACCTTTATTAATATTTACAATATCTGCAAAATATTTTTTAGCTACCAAGTGATATAACTCAAAGAGCACATGTAATTATATTTTTTAAATAAAATCTTTTCATATTTCTACTTAAATATTTGCTTATAGCAATGTCAACGTCATGCGAGGACTAACAGGCGTCTGTTCTATGTACCGGAGGTAAGTTCTCTTCACAGATTTGTACTAATTCGCCCTATTATTTACAACAACACAAAAAAATGGATATTATTTACCTTTAAGAGTATAGAATATTTTATTATTCTTAGATGTCTTACCAAAAATGTTTTTCTTACTTTATATATTTCTTTTTCAGGATTGGAATATACCAAGGGTAATAACAATTATTTTTCAGAATTGTCATTCTAATTACATAATTTTTCAAATATTTTTTTTTATAAAACAGGAAGATAGCAGCTGTGACTTAGGAGGGGTAAGAATAAACACGATTATATACAATTATTTTATATAACATAATTCACGGCAACACATCATATTCATGGGTCGATAACCATGAAAACGGTTATGGAGCCATGACAGTGAGAAAGCTCCAGTTATTGAATAGCTAGAGATTAGGACACACAAATAGACAATTTCAGTTTGTTATTAAATTCTTTAACAATATCTTTGCAAAATTTTCACCAACCAATTAATCTTTGAATGAACCTGCAATGGTCAACAATATACTACACATGTTCCATCTGTATACAACTATAGCTTTCACCGTCAGTTGGCAGTGAAACAAATTCTTACTTCATCAGTATTTATTTCATTTATATAAATACACAAATATATAAATGCTATCAAGACATTCTTTAACTAGTCCCAAAATACCATAAAGGACTGACATATGTAACAAAGTGTGACTAATATAATGTTTTTTCTATATCTACTTGCTGTAGGCGTTTAAACTCACAGATATAAAAAATAGTGATTTATATTTAACTATTATATATATACAGTATTTAACATATTAACATCACTTATAATATATTGTAGCCTTAAAATGTGTGAGGTCAATACTGATACAGACTGAGACTGACAAAGAAAAAATAAAACTAAAATAATCATTATGAACTATAAACAAATTATTTATTAACTACATATATCTATGCGAAATAATATTTTTATAGATTGAGTTTATGCTCGATATTAATGACGAAACAACAAAATTACTGATAAAATTCCTAATATATATACCCTTCAATATATTATATAATTATGCTATATTCTATTCTATAGTTGAATAATTCCAATTTTATATTTTTATATATATATAATTAATTATGTAATATTCATTCTTCATTAAATCAACGTAATATAAAATCATTTTATATTTTGCAGCCTCTATATAGTCCTCCTCATAAAGCGATAGAAGGCCCATGTCCTCAACGACGAGTAAGTCTCTTTTGTTGAGCAACTTATTAATTTATGTTTTTCATAAAACCATATACACATTAAAAACTTAATTTGATTAAATTTATTACTTAACGAAATTTGTATTTCAAGGCGCCACCACGTCGGGCACCTCCTCAGCGACGAGTAAGTTCCTAATATTTTTATTATTTATTGATTCAATAGATTTTCAAAAAGATTATACTTTAATTATTAGAAATAATGTAAAAAATATATAAATTAACTAAACTTATCCCTTAAGGCGCCAGCAGCTCGACCGTGCCCACCACAACGTGGTCAACCACGTGCTCCACCACCTCAACGACGAGTAAGTTGCTGTATTATATATTATAATTAATTATTTTAGCTATTCATATACGCGATATATAAGAAACACTAATATATTATAGTGTTTATTTAACAAATTTATTATTAAACTAAACTTTTCCTTAAGGCGCCAGCAGCTCGACCGTGCCCTCCTCAACAACGAGTAAGTAAAATTATTTTTATGAATAACCTTTTTTGTATATGTAACATCATTAATTGACACAGTTGTTAACAAATTTACGACGACATTTTACAAGCTTTTTTATATTTTCTATAAGTAGTTTTTCAAATTTGTAACAACACTATTTCTATTCTAAAGGCACCACCACCTCGTCCATGCCCTCAACCACGTCCTCCACCACAGCGTCGAGTAAGTAAACTTATTATTTTGAATAATTGATATAGTTATGAATAAATTTTTCTTTGATAAAAATAATTTTTCTAACTAATAATCAAACCATATTTATACTCCAAAGGCGCCACCACCACGACCATGTCCTCCTCCACGTGCTCAACCACGTCCTCAACCACGTCCTCAACAACGAGTAAGTCTGCTAGAAATTATTGTAAAAACTTATCATTCAACCATTGTTATACTCTAAAGGCACCGCCATCTCGACCATGTCCTCCACGTGCGCAACAACGTCCTCAACAACGAGTAAATACCATTATTTTTAAACATAATTAGAATATAATTATATTAAGAAATCTTAAATCTTATTATAATATATGCTGAATCCCATTTTCACACTTATAACTTAACCAAATCTATACTTCAAAGGCACAACCATGTCCCCCGCAGCGTGCTCAACCACGTCCTGCTCAACGTGCTCCACCATGTCCTCAACAACGTCCTCCTGCTCAACGTAATCCACTACCTCCTAGAATTAGGGTAAGCTTCTATAGACCTATTTAAAATTATTTTTTGCTACACTTTACTATTAAAATTTAGCTCTTAAATAAATAATTGAATTAAATAAATAATTAATAAATTATATGTATTTTTTCCTTAAAGATCGAAAATGTTGACAGTTCAATGGTAAGTGCATATATTTGTTCCAAAACTTTTAATAAAATTAATAATAAAATTAGTTTTCGACTAAACCAATTAACTACAATAAAATAATTTGCATTTTATACGATTATACTCTTATATATGAATATTATTATATGCTACTGAACGCTTTTATGAATATATTTTCTATTTTTATGTTTTTTACATATGTTATTTTTTCATTCATAAGTAATTCATTGTTTAATTAAAAAATTTATGTACATTTTAAATAATTAAAAATAAAAATAGAAAAACTTTTACTAACAATAAGATTTTGTGACAAATTATGTTAATGCGAAAAATTATTAAACTATGTCCCACAGCTAATTTATAACTACTATGACTGGTATTTAGTATAATAATATTTCTGTTTGCATAGATTGCATATAACATATAGAAATCATAATTGCCAATTACTTGATTTCAATAACTAATAAATTTTATATATTCAATTACTCCTTCTTGCAGAGCACAATATAAATAATTCTTTAAAATTAGTATTAGAACAATTTTTTATAAAATAAAAATTAAATTCTGTTAATTTTCTGTTAATCGTAAGTCGTAAAAACACAAAAATTACATTTTTTTATTTATTTAATATCAAATCACACCACCAAATATAAATTTAATAAACAAATTGTAATTTTGATAGCAGATTGCAAATTTTATATAAATTTCCAAAAATCATTCACAATAGACAAATTTGAAGTTTTGGCAACCCTGCTTTGCGAGGTGCTTAGCAATTAGTGGTATGTTATGATTGAAGTCACAGTCACAAATTGTTATTATTTTCAATACAAAATGAAGTCTACCGTCAGTGTCAAATTTTCATTTTGCATTGTAAGCAACAACAATTGCGTGACTGTGATTGCAATCATAACAAGCCCCTAAATATGTTTCAAAAAAATTGGGTTGTACTAGCAATATTATTGTCCTATATTTCATTTAAAAATAGTTGGTTGTTTTTTTGCAATCTGTTAACAAAAAATATATCACGTCAAATATATATAT